TTTAAAAAAGCCTTAACTTACCTTAAATTTTTTATTGAAGCAAATACTCCTTTAAACTTAACGATTAGGGCAATTTATCTTATTTTTTTTATAACAAACTTAATACTTGTTTATGCATCACTTGTGTGAATAAAATATTAATAATGGTATATATTAATCTTAACCACATAAATAAAGCACAAATTAACATTAAGTTAGTCAAGGTTAAATTATTCAAATTAACAAGTTCGGTATTTATTTACTTCAATAAAAATATTGAAATTTAATCAAGAATATGAAATAAGTTTGAAACTTAATGTAGGGTTTTATCATTAGCCATTCGCCAATCCTCTATTTATACCTTATATATTATTTTTTCTCATGGTCAATACCTTTAAAAATATTTACTTTGATCAATACTTTTATAATTTAAAACTTATAAAAAATCTAAAAGTTAATGATCAAGTCCCCTATTTATATCTTAATTTTTTTAGTAATTTGGGATTTTTTTTTATAAATTTTAAAAAACGATACAAAGTATTAATTATGAAAAAAAAAAATGTGCGGTGCAAATTAGGAGGTTTGGCTTCTGCCATTTTGAAAACCAAAACTACCTTAGTATTTATTGTAAAATAGGGAAGATATTGAATTATTCTTTAATGGGTTTGCATAATAAACAAAATTTCTTATCATTTTCTTTCAACTAATATTATGTGTTTTTTTTTTTTTGAAAGTTAAGGTGTGACTTGAATCTACACCTCTCAAACTTGACATGAGAAAATCTTTATAAAAGATTAATAACTACTAAATTATAAGGTCATTCTCAACTAATACTATGTTTAATTTGAAAATATGAAAGTTTTTAAATTAATTATATTATATTATATTATTTTTTAATATTATAATTTAATAAATTAAAAAATTTCCTCCAACCTCTCCACATCTTTATTCCGTTAAACTCAAACATATTATTTATAAAAGAGAAATAAAATCCTCTAATTTTTGCCAGAAAAAATTCGTTTTCCTGAAAAATGCTGCAAACTCTGGGGAGAGCATTTGGGTATGGACCTGTTTGTCTCCCTCTATATAATGCTGCGTCTCCTCCATTTCCCCTCCGTAGAAAATTTCCATTTCCCCTCCGTAGAAAATTTCCATTTCTCATTTCTCTATTTTTTCCTACACCCAAAACCATGGCCGCCTGTATTGACACTCCTAGACCTGATACTTCTCACAATCCTAACAGGTCTCAGCCTAATGATCAAGCCCACAAGTTCATGAATTTCTGCCGACCCTCTTTCTCTGATCATGTTTCTTGCATACCCTTTAACCGGAATTTTACAAACAAAGCTGTTGATGTCCTCCATCGAGAAGAAGAGACTGAGGATCTGTGGAATCAAATGCTAGAGGAAGCTCGGTCAGATGTTGAGAGAGAACCCATCTTGTCAAATTACTATCACAGCTCAATTTTGTGTCATAAATCGCTTGAAAGTGCTTTAGCAACTCATCTCTCCATCAAGCTAAGTAATTCAAGTCTTCCTATCAACACCTTGGTTGATATTTTCATGGAGGTACTTGAGGGAGACAGTGAAATTATGAGAGCTGTTGAGGGAGATTTAAGGGCTGTTAAACAAAGAGACCCAGCATGTATTAGTTATGTGCATTGTTTCTTGAATTTTAAAGGTTTTCTAGCCATTCAAGCTCACAGGGTAGCGCACAAGCTGTGGTCACAGCAGAGAAAAATTTTGGCTTTGTTGATAGAGAATAGAGTCTCTGAAGTTTTTGCAGTCGATATCCATCCTGGTGCCACAATTGGCAGTGGTATATTGCTTGATCATGCTACAGGGGTTGTCATTGGAGAGACAGCTGTCGTTGGCAATGATGTGTCAATTTTGCATAACGTGACTTTGGGAGGAACGGGGAAGGTTGCTGGTGATAGACATCCAAAGATTGGGAATGGGGTTTTGATTGGTGCAGGGACTTGTATTTTGGGAAATATTAGAATTGGTGATGGAGCAAAAGTTGGTGCTGGTTCTGTGGTGTTGAAGGAAGTGCCTGCAAGGACCACAGCAGTTGGGAACCCGGCAAGGTTGCTTGGAGGGAAGGAGAATCCCATTAAGCTTGACAGGATTCCCAGCCATACCATGGACCATACTTCACATATAGCTGAGTGGTCCGATTATGTCATTTAGACTTTAGAGGCCTAATTATTCTCTAAGTCCTGAGTTTTATTTTGATTGAAGCTTTCTGTTTTTCTTGTAAGTGAGAATAGAAGTTTCTTCTATTAGCAAACAGAAGATTTTGTATTTCACAGACATGCTAAGCAGGGTCCAATAGGTAGTCCTGTAGCCTTATAATATTATATGCTTCTGAGAAAATTTGTTTTAACTTGTTACTGGAAGTAAATTGCATCAGGAGTCATGTTATCTTTGTTGATGAATGTGAAACCTCTGTTTTTAAGAATGGTATAGATGAAATCTGAAATTGAACCTCAGTGATACCCTTCTTGTTCATTTTCTATATGCTTTTGCCATTGGTATTGAAAGATCTTGGAGATCATTGATCCAGCCACAAGGTATGTAGACAAGACTATGATCTTGAAGCACCTGCTGAGGCATCGTAAATGTCGTGAATAGCATAATTATGGTGAAGACTAGGATGATTTTGTCATACAGTATGTATTGTCCTAAATAACCTTTTATCTAGACATTTGAGGCCAAAAAGTAGTGTATCTAGATATATCTACGGTCAGATTTTTTGTTGGAAAATGCAGAACTATAATTTTGCACTGAAGCCGCTTTCCCTTGGACTATCTTTTGTGCTAGTTTTCTGACATAAAGTACTTATGTAGTTATTTATGATCTTTTTCTTGAACTATAATCCTGAGTCTTCCTTTTTATTTTTATTTTAATCAGCAACCATCCCGAATGAAGTGTTAGCTGGAAAGTTGAAAGAAGTCAGTTTATTTCTCATTCCTAAGTCCAGAATTGTGTCAGCTGAAATTTCCATCTTTACCATGCCTGTAACCCTGGTTAATACTTGATCATTTGATGCTGCATTGTCCCCTATTCTCATCTTAATGTCTACTGAAAATTCTGTGTGGAAGTAAATGTCCAGAACTTGTAGGTTATGGATTTTATCAAGTTAAAATTCTAGTTTTCGAAAGGAAAATTAGGTACCATTAATTGGAGAAGAAACGCAGAGAGGAATGGTTAGGATCTCCCAAGGTTCCTCCATTTATGATATCTTGATGTTACAGAACAACGTGAAGAAGTCTTGATGTTACAGAACAACATGAAGAAAACAAAACCTAAACATAAAAGAGAAGAAGCTAACAAAAAGATTATACATTTATTTACCAGCCTTGAGGATACTGCCGAAGGGTATCAGATGAATTTGGGATTCCAGATTCTATGTGAGTAGATGACAATACTCAAGTAAAATATATCTGCAAGGGACTACAAGATCATATAAGTAGATTATACATGCATGCAGCTTATATTCTGGTTTAATCATCTACCCTTTGCACATGGAGCTCTTTTTCTCTTCCTGTCCATTCCTTTTCACCTTCTTTCTTTCCACAGTCATGGTGTTGAATTTAGGGAGAGAACCAAGAGCAATGGATTTATATCAAAACAACCTCCAGGGCCGAGAAAGCTACCTATAATTGGAAACGTTCACCAGCTAGCAAGTTCTTTACCCCACCACAGATTACGAGACTTGGCCAAAAGATATGGACCTTTGATGCACCTGCAGCTTGGTGAAGTTTCTACCATAGTTGTTTCTTCGCCAGAGTTTGCAAGGGAGTTCATGAAAACCAATGACATCACATTTGCATCAAGGCCAGAGATTCTCGCTTCACAAATTATCGGTTATGATTCCACTAATATTTCCTTTTCACCTTACAGAGATTATTGGAGACAAATTCGCAAAATTTGCATGCTGGAACTACTAAGTTCAAAGCGTGTCCAATCCTTCAAACCAGTAAGAGAAGAGGTGATGAAAGATCTCATCAAATGGATTTCTTCAAAAGCAGGAGCACCTATCAATCTTACTGAAAAAGTTTTTTCATCATCATATACCATGACTTCAAAGGGAGCTTTTGGTAAGAAATGTAGAGAGCAAGACCGATTTGAAACGGCAGTCCAGCAATCAATAGAGCTTGCAGCAGGTTTGAATCCTTCAGATCTTTATCCTTCCAATAAGTTGCTTTATGTAATTGGTAGGATGGGGGCTCAGAGGCTGCACAAAGAAGTAGACAGGATACTTGGGGACATTGTTGATGAGCATATGAAATCTCTGAGAACAGCCAAAATTGGTGTGAAAGAAGTAAATGAAGATCTTGTTGACGTTTTGTTAAAATATGAAGGACACGGTGGCCTTGGATTCCATTTAACCGCTGATAACATCAAAGCAGTGATATTGGTATGGAAATCTACTTTCTGATTATATATATATATATATATATATATATAAATTGCCATTGCCCACAAATGGGTGGTCAGTTGTTCTCACTAGTAGCAGATTTTCTGCTGTTCTTTATTAAAAGAACACTGATAAGTATATCCTTTAAAAGTTACACATTTCGTTATATACTAACAGATTTCGTTAGTGTACCATTAAAATTGACGTAAACCATTAATTTTAATAGTAGAAATAATGAAAACTATTAGTTTTATCAGTATAAATAATGAAAATCATCAATTTTCATGATATATTAACAGAAATCATCAATATGTAACAGAGTATGTAACTTTTGGAGTGGTAAATATCATTTCCCTTATTATTAAAATTATTAGCATATGCACTATAATTCTTTGATTTGATCCTGGAAAAGTCTGTAGGGAGCGAGCATCATTGCTTGGTTACTTTATTATTATTACTTTTATGGCCATCATTCTTTGTTACTTAATGTTTATATATAAATCCTTTTTCAGGATCTTTATGCTGCTGGAAGCGAAACAACTGCTACAATTGTAACTTGGGCTATCTCAGAGATGATGAAAAATCCAAGAGTGATGGAAAAGGCACTATGAAGACTATCACAGCAAATCACGAACACCATGGAGAACAGAAAGGAAAGTTAGACAACCAGAAAGGAAAGAGACAAGTATATGACCAACAAGGAAAGAACAAGGAAGCAGAAATCACAAATCAAGAGCAAAGGATTCAGAAATCAAATATGAAAGCAAGCAACGGTCAAGAGATAGCGAAATCAAAATTATTAATAGAATGATTTTCCATTATAGTAAATCAAGGCCAACTGCACTAATTTAGGAGTTGAACGTTGGCTGTAATGTATATATATTCCTATGTTGAACAGATATCAGTACAGTGAAATATACAATCTCAATTTCTCTTCTTTTGAGCCTATTAAAGTTTTACATGGTATCAGAGCAGTACGATCACTGCATCTGAATATCTGAATCTTTTGTTCTACAATATCTACATTTCTTTTAATTCTACAACTATGGCAAAGAACAAGACTTCACTCACCATTCAAAGCTTCCATCAAATGGCAAGCTTAATGTCTGTCAAATTATCTAATACAAATTTTCTGTTGTGGAAGTCACAGGTTTATCCTCTCATAAGGAGTGCTCAGCTTCTTCATCATATCCAAGAAGATGCACCGCCAGAAACTATCTCAAAGGACAAAGAAGAAACAGAAAATCCAGAATACTATGTTTGGCTAAACAATGATGGCCTCCTTACAAGCTGGCTTCTCGGAACCATGAATGAAGACTCACTTAGCCTCGTCGTTGGATCAAACTCAGCATACGAGATCTGGAAGTGCTTGGAAGAGCATTATCTTGCCTCAACAAAGGAGCAAGAGCTACAACTCAAAGGGCAATTGACTATTAAACGAGGAAGTAATGAATCTCTTGAAGCATTCCTCAAGAAATTCAAAAATACCTGTGACAGTCTAGCTGCCATTAACAAGCCTCTTGATGATCTTGATAAGGTGTTTCATTTGTCTAGAGTGGTCGGGTCACGCTACCAACCATATAATCTTGCTGTTCTCTCTAAAGCTCCATATCCAACCTTCAGACAGTACATCTTAGGCCTTGAAAACACTGAACGAGATCTGAATGCAGAAGAGGAAGAAGAAAAGAATTCAGCCCAAAACTATGGACAAGTGTTTATTGTTCAAAGAGGAAGAGGAAATCGAGGCAGAGGCAGAAGAAGCTTCAACTCTAGAGGAAGAGGCTTCATACAAGCAAGCAATTATAACAACCACTGGTCTGGAAACAATAGACCAGTTGTCACAAATAACAACCCTCAGCCATATCAAGGAAACCTGCAACAGAAGAACCAGCCTAAGACACAGAGTTCAAAAGGTGAGAACACTTGCCAGATCTGTGGAATTTATGGTCACATTGCCATAAAATGCTGGTATAGATTTGACCATGCATATCAAAGTGAAGACTTGCCTCAAGCTCTTGCTGCAGTATCCTTATCAGAGGACAAAGATCCGAGTTTCTATGCTGACTCTGCAGCAAGTGACCATATGACCTCAGACAAAGGTAATCTCTACTCAAAACTACCTTATAACGGAAACAGGAAGGTATACACAGGTGATGGTACACCCCTTACTATTTCTCACGTGGGTTCAGCTTCTGTTGGGCCATTAAATTTAAATAAAGTTTTGGTTGTTCCAGATTTAAAAAAGAATCTCATTTCTATTAGTAAGTTTACACAAGATAACTCTTGTATTTTTGAATTCTCATCAACTGGTTTTGTTATTAAGGATCCAAAGACACAACAAATTCTTGCCAAAGGATCTAGGAAAGGGCAACTTTATGCATTAGATGAAGAAGCACAGTATGCTCTCTCAGCACTAGCAACGAACAGGGCAGAAGACTCTATTTGGCACCA